TCCAAGGATAACCTTTAGTAGCTAACGACCTCTAGGTTCTCCACAAAGTAGTTTCCATGATCGAGAGTTTTCTTTTGATATAGTTTCATATATTTTATTAAAAAGTAAGATATCTTTATATGTGCCAGTCCTTATAACCATTATTTTTCAATTTATTTATGGATAATGGAACATTATCCATAAAAAATTACCGTTACTGGAAGAAACGCCACTCTACGGGCAATTCAAAAACAAGTAGTTTAAAAACAGTACAATATTCTATTAACCCTATCGAGACGGGTAGGGGTCAGAGGGCATGTCATCACGTTTGTAGATTTGCATTCAACATTTTATTTAGCTATTATTTTATAAACGTATAGCAATAAGTTTGGTAACAAATTTTAGATTATAATTCAAATTTTAGTATTATACATTAGTTAGTTTCTTGATTTGAAACTAAATATTCAAATATTTTTGTGTATCACGTGATACGCGGCCTTTTGGGTTTGGTCAGATTGCATTTTATGACGCCCACAATATAACGTGTAAAGTTTCGTACGAATTAGAAACTCAAATGTCCGATATTGGCAAGCTATAATATAAAATAATAACCTCCTACCTTTTCTATTTGCTGAGATATCATAATAGTTAGCGAACCCACTATATTAGCTCCTACCACCACTTCATCATTTGGAAAGACTTATTTATCTAAACCTACTTTTATATACCAATAACTTTAGAATCAATCGAAAGATATCTATTTATTCAACATAATTCTGTCAGTCTTTCTAATTTATTTTCGAGAGAATTGCCCTTATATCATTGGAAAGTTTGAAGTATTGCTATCAAGGCTATTTTCTGAATAGAAATTATAATTTTTAGACCCAAGTACAATTTAGTTAGGAAGCCTGATAACTTACCGTGAATTTTTGGAGTATTAGTGCAGTAACTTATATTTATTTTGTATTCCAAAATACTGATATAAAGTCTACAAAACTTGTTATTTTTACATCTCCACATGTGAATTTGGACGAGGCTTAGCAAGTATGGCTCATGCGTGCAAACAATGACTTGGTAGCATCGTAAGTAGTAGAGATCATTGTTTTCCAAAATTTTTTTATTTACTGTTTTATGTTTAAAGAAAAATAACTAACATTTCAGTATTTATGTAATGTATGGTAGCCAATATGCTACTGTATTTTCAAAGTAAGAACTTGTGTTATGTTTCTATTCGTTTACATTGAGAAAGAATAAATACAAATTATACAAAACTAAAAACTTGGCAATTCAGGAAAAGTTTATTTGTGTAATTTGGGAAAGTCTAAGAAATAAATTAATCACTGATCTTAACACATGAAAAGGAACATCTTTACATAAACACCCGTTGAACTTGCAGTTTTCTGGTGAAGAATTTGTTTCTCAAGTTACAACCAAGAAGGCTAAGCCAAGAATACTAGCCTAACCAAAACGACCCGTATTTATATTACTGGAAACTACAAATTTATTGGTTAGTGTATAAGCATGGTAATATATGAAACAGGATGTCTGTAATCATTTACACACATTTACACCTATACCAACGCTAAATCCCGACCTTCAAACTAGCTTCAAAAAGCTAGCAAGTTTATTGGATATGATACAACTTTATACTTTGTACAGAGCCATATCATAAATATTTTCTCTCACTTTTATAAAATGCTTTAGACAGGTCTTGTTGCAACCACTGTATTGTCAAGAAGGTGGCAAATTCTATCCCACTGTGTTCTCAGAGCAGTGATCCCAATATTTTCTGCAGGATACTTCCGCTTTTTGACTTATTGGATCGTCCCAGTCATAAACATTTTTATAATACTTTAGACAATTGTCTTTGTAACCATTATACTGTCAACAAGTTGATATATCCTATCCCACTGTGTTTTCAAAGCAGGGAAAATTCTGGAAATTGCTCCGCATGAACTTATTGATATTGACGGTGTCAAAGTACTTAAATTACGGTAACACCTAAAGAGGAACGGTGATTCATTGCTTTATACTCGGCAGGTTTCTACTTCAGCCGCTAACAGTATAATAACAATAGAAAATAGGTGTAAAAAGATTAGAAAAAACTCTCAGAAAATTTACTTGGAACTTTACTGTCCCTACTGAAAAGAACAGAGTACTATTCATTTTGTTTCTTCTAATTTCTAACTCATCTACTAGCAATTAAATAACTACAGAAAACAAATGTGAAAGGTGAGAGCATAAACTCTGACCATAAGTACTTTGAACTTTTCTAATCACTACTAACAATACTATACATTTTATTTTGTAACCTTTATTTTCGTTATACTTTGATTACTTACTTACAACCTGGAGAAATAAGTATGATGTTACAGTACAAAAAATAACAAATATAATTTAAAGCTTTACTGAAAATAAAAATGTTTGATAATTAATTACGAGGTTTTTATTTTTCATTTGTTTTAACTGTTTATTATAATAAAAGTAACTAAAATCATAAGAATTGAAAGTTGTTAGGTAAGATAATGAAAGGAAAATAATAAAAACCTTCGTGGGGTATACGCGCCAGAAGTTTCTGTTCGATAGGGTCATTTCAATGCACGTGCGTCGTGTAATTTTCAACTTCTATCGGGGCATTTTTAGTCAGACACAGTTCAAAGGTCAATAAAACAAAAATTAATAAATACAAATAGATTTATACGGTTACAAGATTTAAGCTATTTAGAATAAACATTTGTGGTTTTCTATTACAATTTGCAGTTATTCTAGAACACAAATAGTAATTTAGATTTATTTCTTAATTTTAATGATGGTTACGAGGTCGGTCAAATCGATCAACACCATACAGTGTTAATAAGGATAAAAATAACAAATTAAATATAAAGTTTTATTCAGAAAATCGTTTGATGATTATCTAGAAGGATATAGAGATTACGCAAATGAAACTTGACAAATTTCAGATAAAGAAGAGTATTTTTAATCTTAAAATCAAAAATACTTTGTACGTTGGATAGTCAAAATTCTGAAAAAAAAACATTCACGAACAAATCTTTAATAAAAAAATCTTAAAACATAATTCAAAACCCAGATATTTTGTGTATGAAATCCTTCTAATGTTTGCTAATAATCTGCAAAATTTTATAAAAAATTATGTACATTTTCAAAAATTGTAGTACAATTACTCTCATAGATACTTTCCTGATTACGGGCTGGGTGGATTCCACCCAGCCCGTATTGAAAGGACTAAATATGTCCATTGCGACGTTATATAATTTCAGCTACTAATTTCTTGAACAGGCTTTTCCCACTCTTACCAAACCAGCATCTACGTCACCACAGCTCTCTCTATCAACTGGGTCGGACTCATCTCCTGCTACTCTCCTCTCGGTTGCCTTGACGACAATGGCCAACTCAGCACCGTTGATGGCGATTCCACCAAGGCTTATTCCACCAAATCCTCCACCTTTACACCTTCCTACTCCTACTAGTGCTGGTCCAATCCGACGCCGTCTTAGTGATAAAGGGTGTCCTTCACTATCAGGTAAAGACAATATGAATACTGATATAGTATCAATGAAACACGATCACAAACCAACCCTTTTTTTTGTTCAACCAGTTACTACTAAACGTCGAGTTCAAAACATTGTATCAAGACGAAATAACATCTTATTGTAGCGTAGACTTGTATATGTAACAACAATGTACTCTTATAAGTTCAAAACATAGTGTGCAAAAAAGAAATATCACTGCACCAGGAAGCAAGGCTCTTATAATAACCAAAAAGAAACCTGCACTGTCAAAAATATCATCCTTCATAAGCACAATTTTGTCGATAGCGTGTTAAAATGATTGTGTTTTTTGTTACATGTGTTCTAACATGTTTAGTGAAAAAATAACAGCAAAGTCTTCGAGCGAGCAGTTTGATTCGAATTAAGCACAAAGCTACACAATGGGTTATCTGTGCTCTGCCCACCACGGGTATCGAAACCCGGTTTCTAGCGTTGTAAGTCCGCAGACATACCGCTGTGCCACTGGGGGCTGAGCGAGCAGGAAAATTAGACAGCTTCAAACGCTTTTGAATTGCCAGAGATTTTAAATTTTCTTTTTAAACAAAAATTAGACTTCCTAGACATTATTGACACGTTTCATTTTGGCAACTCGAATTTTTTTCTTAGAAATAACTTTTACCGTTAGATTATGTTTTTTGCTATATTTTACAGATCTTCCTTTGAGAGCTTGCACATTGTGGATAACACGAGATCCCAAACATCAGTGAAAATATATATACTTGTTAATAAACAATCAACCTCTCACGAAAAAATATAAAATTAATGATTTCTATAATGTTTTTTTTTAGCGTAAAACTACACAACAGGCTATCGTTGCTTTGTTCACCGAGTGGAATGAAATAAAAGATTTTAGCGTTTAAGTCCGTAAACTTACTGTTGACTCAGCAGGAGTCTTTAGTGTAATGAATTGATTGAATAGGCCTAATGTGTATATCGCAGTTTTTGGTTAAGAATAATTAGACATTATTTCGATTAACAGCATAGTTTCTTATATTCCAAAGATTTTCAACGTAAGTTTCAAATCAAGAGGAAAGAAAATCATATTATAGCGTAAATATCTATATACGTATAACATATCAGCATGATCTGTAAATGGACTAGGGCATTGTTGCTTATAAACACTTCGAAAAGCATTATTTTATCAAATGTTCTTAATATATATATATATATACGATATTAAATAATAGTTAATATGAGATATTTCGAACGAACAACGCCATAGAATATTTTTCTGATTATAGCTATTAATTAAGAGTTAGACATATTTTTTACTTGATGAATTACTTTCTTCTATAGCAGCGCTTGGCATGGCCTACTGGTTAGAGTAAGCTGCAGGTGGTCGCGGTATCGAAACTTGTCGCCGAACATACTTAGCTTTTGAGGCGTTATAATGTGACGGTCAATTTCCCTATACCTTAGACCCCACTCACCAGTGACTCAGCGACACTAGGAGTCTGTTTAGAATAATAGAGCCCTCCATTAATTAGTGTTCAAGATTTCATGATTATTTTACAATGTGAAAATCTTGGATCGATTTCCCTCAGTAGAGAGAGTGCCTATTGTTTAGCTTTGTGCTAAAAACAAACAAACGAACTCTCACTAAATATAAATACATATGAATTATCTTTTGAACAGCTCTTTATTACTTTGAATGAAGGAAATGATAGCAATGTTTAGTGGATGGCCCCTATCTGTATTTATCTTGTTGTGACAACAATGGTCTCCGTAAATGCTCGTATCATAATGTTGAAATTCCTGGTCACGATTATTATGGTTTTAAATTTGAATATATCATATGATTGTTATTCCTAGCATGCTTGGCTGCCGCTGATATGTCTGTATTACAATTTCTGAAGGTTGTTGAAGACTCTAACACTAGAGCCGAAAGCTTGCAGCGAATAAAACTTAAACAACGTGCAGTTATTAATTTGTTCAATATATATCCCTTTAGCTTTACTTCTGGAAGACGTGGACTAATATATGGCCATATTTACTTCCTAGAATCTTCTATATTTATTATTAGCCATTTTAGACGAGTCTTCACGCACGGATGCAGGAGAGGGGGGTCCAAACAATAGGCTGATATAGTTATAGTGCAGTTACTTATGGTATTTAACGTTTTTAACATAGTCTACATCATCTATATTTCAGATTCAAGAAGCCATAGGTTAGTGGTCTAAAATGTAATCAGTAAAGAATGTTTTCACTTCTTTTTAATGTGTACAAGAAAATATGACTTTCGGGACCTCGTAGATTTGCGTAGATATCGAAACAAAGTTATAAAAGCTTAACTTGTTGACATGTTACTTTATCATTTTGTACTTTATTTGAATTATGATGTTACGGTACGATATGAAAATAAATAATTTTTGTTATTCTCGTGGAATAAGATAAGGTAGGATTAGCTTGAATTGTCAAATACAATCAGCGAAAAGTAAATGTTATATATATATATATATGTATGTGTTTAAAACTTATTATATATATATAATAAAGTGGATCTTCTGATTAACAAGCTTTTTAAATGCCAGCTTGTATATCATTCTGTATTCTACAAAAGCTATTTTCATTGTATACCAGTGATAATAAACACAGTGAAACTCCATGTAGTGCTTTTTGTATCAAAACAAACATAAAATTTAACATTCTATAAAATAAAACCTTTATAAGAAAATTTTAGAAGAATGTAGGAAGTCATAAAAATTATTAATTAAGTGCTACAACAATGGTATTAAGTTTTAATTGTTTCCTGAAAAACATGTCACACTGGAATCTTTTTAAATTTTCAAAGCAGCAAATTCATACAAATATCACATATAACAATAATATATATTTTTTCCAGAATCTACATTATCTGTAGAAAATCCATCCAGTAGTTGGTTTTCGCAAGGTAATAAACCAACCCATACAATAGGTGTTTCCAATCGACGCACCTGAACGTTTGAGAGTTAAATAAATAAAGTATTTATGTGAATGAATAGCAGAGAACATGGAATTAAGATCTTTCATTTTATTTCATAATATACCGACCAACAATACATGAAGCCATAGGCTGATTTTTGGGAGAGAACTCAAAGTGTTAGTGGACTTTCTGTACTCAAATCCTGAGGATCATCACTCAGTAAAGTCTTACACAGAACATGCAGAGAGACTGGGGAACATCATTGATGTCACATACGACTTTACCCAAGAAACATTCAAATAAGCTAGCGTGAAAATTCTTTATGATGTAAATCCTGCAAATTTTGGATTGCATTGCAGTGACATGGTATGGCTATACAATCCTTGTTGCTGAAGAGAACAAACTTCGCAATTAAGTATATGTTGGAAAGGACCGTTTACTGTAGAATCAATGATGTGGCTCATAGAATCCAGAAGGACAGGCGATCCAAGACAAATGTCATACATTGTGATTGTTTTTGGAAATGCGTCAGTGAGAATATGACCAACTGTTTAGCTTCAGAGAAGACTTTCCTAGTGGTTAGCTTCAGAGAAGACCTTCCCTGTGGTAAGTCAATCTTTTTAAGAGCCCAATGTTCCTCTCAAGACAGCTTCATAGAAGAACTTTTCAGTGATAAGTCAGTTTGCTGAAGACCCCAAGGTAGAAGTCGAGACAGCTACAGAAAAGACTTTGCAGTGGTAAGTCATCCTGCTGGGCCAGCTCCAGCTTGTCACCAAGTGTGGGGTCATCGGTGTTTTACTTGAAGAGAACTCTCCTTGTGATATGGCAGCATGCTACGATAAAGAACAAGAGAAGAGGGCATCCCTTCTATCTTTGTACCATAAGTCATGGAAAAGAAAACCACCAAGAAGATTTGGTGATTGGACAGTTTAATAACGAATATTTTGTTTTGTTAATCAGAATTTTTGTTGTACTTTGTTCAGCACATTTAATTAAAGATTTAATAATTTTAATGCTTATATACGAATATTGATGTTTCTTAATTGTAAATAATGACTCTATTACTAATTAGCTCTTTTCACTGAATAATTTAAAAATGCGCAACAATAGAAACTGTTAAATCAATTCCTTGTTATACAATCTATATTATTGTAATAACTTTATTATCGGCAAGGTTAGTTGTACCTCTGTCTTTACTTACCTATCAAATTCTTATGTTATCTTTATCATAACATGTGGAAGTACTTAGTTTTTATTATTATTTGCAGGTTTTGATGTGTCTCTGTCCGATTCCCCGATGAGACGACGTGTTGCAGAAAGATCGAACTTAGATATTACCGAAGGTATTATGAAATTGATATATACATATATATATATATATATATATTTGTTGTTATCGTTATTGATAATATTGTCCACATTTTATTGGATTAATAAAAAATAGTGGTACAATTTTTGTTAACGTACGTTAGCATTTCCACACATTTTATCAATTAAATAGAAGTGTAACATGTAACAATTATTAGCTAAGAATAAGTTTTGAGTTCATATAAATCTTAGTATAAACTCACAGAAAGTATCTATAAGTTGAACAACGTAAATTACGACAACAAGGGAACATATGACCTTTCAAGACTCTTTTTCCTTCCACACCCAATTGTTTGAGAAATGTAAACCTTTAAACGTGGCATTTATTTTTCAGGAAATCATTGATACCCGCATTAAACTCTTCTAAAGAGCTGGCTGTCTCTACTGCCAATAGCAACTCATTCCATAAGCGAATCACCCTATTAGAAAAATAAAACTGGCTTAACTGGAGCCTATTGTGTCTTTTCGAAATTTTAAACTTGTGTTCTTTTCTTTTCAGAATACAACTCCAAGAAATCAGAGACCTTTATTCTATTAATTCCCCCAGATAATGTTGTAAACTTCAATAAGATCACCCCTTTAATCCTTGTTACTCAAGAAAAAACAAGAGATATAACTTATACCTATAAGATGACCCTTCCATCCCCAGAATAAGTCTAGTAGCCCTCCTTTGAATTCTTTCCAGTAAGTTGTTACGTATCTGCTTGTTTGTTAATTTTGTTTGAAATTCTTTCCGAAAAAACTTCTGCGATACAAGTCCTTTCTTAAATAAAATTAGTTTATTCTTTCTCAATTCAACATTGCAATACACTTAATTTCCACAGTCACTTTAACTTCAACTCAGGCTATAAGTCACAACGATTCACGCACTTTACTTACGGTGCCCTATTGACTAGATTATCCGTGTCTATATCTTCAATCTCTTTATCTGCAACTATATCTCCCCCGCTTTATTTGCCAGTTTTATATATACAAAATAGAGGGCGTCTCGAGCCTTCAGGAACCTTCTAGATACTCATTACGTGTTACCAGCGTCACGTCACATCCGCTGTCGTAACAGTGCCCCTTCCTTAGTATTGTTCGTCCCGAACAATAGCTACTTACATTAAATCAACAGATAATTAACAAAATTCAATAAAGTCTCTTAATTTTACGGGACATATCTCCTTCCGTACTGGTCTCCGTCTCGTTGGCTTCTTTCACGTGGGGTTCATCTGCTCCATCAAAAAATGTCCTATTATCGGTAACAGTCACATCAGTGGTAGTAGCTTCATCAAGGGCTTCACTGTTTCCCTTCTCAAAACTGGGTAGAGTTTCTTTTTCGACAGTGGCTTTTTCAGGTGATACGTCTTCAGCAGCGTCAGTTCTATTGTTCACTTCATTCCAACTGAAATGTCCTGGACCGTGATAACGACAAAGCCTGTTGGCATGCACCACCTCGCCAATCATATTTTATCCGGAAAGTCACGTCTGAGAGACGATCCACTATGTCATATGGGCCTTCCTATGGAGATGACAACTTAGGAGACTTCCCTTTGGTCTTCCTGGGATTATACAACTACACCTTGTCTCCTGGTACAAAGCTGACTTCAGTAGATTTCTTATCATAAGATAACTTCATCGAATCAGCAGACGTTTTCAAGTTTGAAAGCACTTGATGGTGAATATTATCCATCCTTTCTGATAACACTTTCACGAATTTTGACACATTTTCAGGCAACTCTTCATAAGGTGGGTGTCCTGTTAACGGATCCACTGGCAACCGAAGTT